CCCGTCCCGCAGGGCCCGGAGCAGAGGCTGTGGGAGGCCGAGTGCCGGGAGCGGGCCCTGCGCGGCCGCCTGGCCTGCCTGGAGGAGCAGAACCGCCAGCTCCTGGGGCAGCTTGCGGAGAGCCAGTCCCAGGAAGGTGGGTGTCCCAGGGGGGGTTTGGGGTCCCCTGATGCCACACGGTGTCCCTGTGGAGTGGCGGGCTGGGGGCAGGGCTGAACCTGCTCTGCTGGAGCCTGGAATGCTGCTCTCCTTTCCCTCACCTTGGAGGCCTGTCCCAGCAGGGAGCGCAGGCATTACCTTGTTCTGCAAATCACGGGGATCCCGAACCTCCAGAGCACCTCGAAAGCCCCCAGGAGGGTGCTGGAGGCAGGCACAGGGTGTGGGCTGCTGTGCACACACAAGGATGTGTCAAGAATGATCTAAAACTCTCAGTTCCCTTCTTTGCACTGTTCCCACTGTGAGATTACCAGGAATAAGTCAGATTTTGCAGAAACACTGAGGAACTTTGTGGGCTTGGGGGAGCCCCTGGGGACTCCCACTCCTGTCCACCCGTCTCAGACAGCACGGCACGGAAGGAGCGGGAGGTGATGCTGCGGCTGAAGGAGGTGGTGGACAGGCAGAGGGACGAGCTTCGTGCCCAGGCCCATGAGATCGTCTGCAAGAGCCGGGACACGGAGGCGGTGAGGGCGTGGGAGCTCAGGGGTGTGGTGTGCCAGGGGCTCGGGGACCTGCTTTCATGTCACATCCCCCCCGGGCTGTGACAGCTGCTGAGCCTGCTGGGGCGGGTGGCACTGATGTCCCTGGGTGGGGACACTGCTCACCTTTGGCTGCCCTGGGCCCTCCAGCTGCAGGAACAGCTCCATCGCTTCATGGCCATGAACGAGGAGCTGCGGCACAAGGTGGCCGTGGTGCAGGCCCAGCTCAAGAGTGCTCTGGAGCAGAAGTCAGACCTGGAGGCTGCGATGCTGCAAAGCCGGAGGGAAACGAGCAGGAGGAGCAGGACGGCCCTGGAGAGCCAGCGGCCAGAGCCTGCTGCGGTGAGTCTGAGCTGTGGCCTCACTGCTGCTGGGCATCACCACCTTCCCAGCCTGGTGAGGAGGTTTTGGAACACCCAGATGTGGCTACTCAAGGAAATCCCACAGCTGGAATCTGAGCACTGTGGTGTCTGCAATGCCAGTAACACTTCTCTGTAACAGTGGTTATGGGTGCAGTAAGATGAGGTGGCAGGAGTTAAAAGTAGATAGGACACAGAGGATGAGGGGGGTTTGCCACGTGTGGTTATGGGCAGTGGTTGCTGGCTGAGATTCAGCCAGGATGGGGACATTCCTGGGACTTTTCCATTTTTGCCTGCATGTGCACCCAGCCTTTGAGTGGAGGTTTTGAGGTCTCTGCTTGCCTGCTGACTCTCCTTCCATCCCCTCCAGGAGGGAGCCCTGTCACCCTCAGAGGAGCCACAGCACCAGGATGGGGACAGGAGCCCTGCTCACTGCTGCTTCTCCAAGGAAGAGCTGCAGCAGATCCTGCAAGAGAGGAATGAGCTCAAGACCAACCTGTTCTTGGTGCAGGAGGAGCTGGCCTATTACCAGAGGTGAGTTCTGTCCCTGCAGCCACCCCTGGCCCACCAGAGGCTGCTCCCACCACAGTCAGGGCAGAATCTTCCCCAGGCTCTTGGTTAACCAGCTGGCTGCTTTTTGCCAGGGAACTGCTGAACGAGGAGAGAATTCCCAGCTTCTTCTTGGATGCAATGAAGTCAAATATTAAAAAACAGAGGAAAAAAATCAGAGCCAAAATGCTGGGAACGGCAGAGGAGTCAGCGAGCAGGTGAGTCAGGCTGGGTGCTGGGATCCTCCCGTGCAGGGTGGGTGCTGCCTGGCCTGCTCCAGTGTCTCCATGTGTGTGATGCCCTGGATTGGAACTTGCCTAAACCCAGAGCTGCCTCCTCCTTCCAGAGATCAAAGGTTTGATGTCTGCACTTGATGTGCTGCTCTGGCATAGCTGGGCCACAGGGGCTGGGCTTTGTGCTGCAACTCGTGTGTCCTCGTCACCAGTCAGGCATGGCCTGGCCAAATGCCACTTGTCCCTGCATGCATGTAACAAAAGGGAGGCGAGGTGGTGGCACTGGGAGCACTGGACAAACTCCAGCTGCTGTGGCTCAGTGCAGGTTTACCTCCATTTCTTTGTGCTGCAGCGATGAAGAGGAGGGCTCCTGGCTCCCAGGTCATGGCACAGACTGTGTGGATGCTCAGCCTCCAGAATCCAAAATTAGGAGCTTGTAAGTTTGCTCCTGTGCTGGTAGGGATGGGAGGCTGTGCCAGTGGAGAGGTTTGGGGCTTGGCTGGGACCTGGCACCTGTTGAGCTTGGATCTGATGGGAACAGAGTCAGCAGGCTGGTGCAGGGCTGGCAGGGACGCTGCCAAAGCAGGGGTTGCTGTTTTAGGAGGATCTGCCTTGTCCTGGGTGCCACACGCTCCCAGGGCGCACAGCAGGCTGTGTCCTGCTGCCACCACCACAGAGGGAGGCTGGGATTCCACATCTTCCCTAGGGAGGTTCTCCCTCACAGCCCTTATCTGCTCTCTCTGCAGTTTTGGGCTGTGGTATCAGGGCAGCAGCAAAGACGCTGCCACATCCAGCTGCTCCGGAACCTGGGAAATCATCGACTCGCTGGACACGCAGCCAGAGCCAGAGGGAGAGAGCAAGGCAGGATCCAGCTCCCCTGACAGAGCCATGGCACCACTCTGACCCCACGGGAACGGGAGCAGGGTCTGTCCTCGCAGCAGAACTTCCTGGATCCTCTTCTTCCAGTGGCTTCAAGAGCAGCATGGCGGCCCTGGCACTTCCCTGTGCTGTGGTGGTGGCAAAGCCACAGCGTGGGCAGATTCCACTGGGACACTTGGATGTGGGCTGCCAGCCTGGCATGGGACAGCTCAGCACCTCTGGGCACCTCTGCCCACCAGAACCCTTTCACTGTGCCCACAGCTTAGCTACAGAGGGGCCCTCACAGCTGTGCCCCCTCCCCACTGCTCCCTGCTTGCAGATCAGCGTGGTGGGGGTCTGCACCCTCTTCCTGCTCCACACCCCAAAAGCAATCTTCCCATCCACTGGTGGCTCTTTGCAAACCTCTCTGCTCACAGCCCAGGATTCCATTGCCCCATCCTGCTCTGTGGGGGTGTTTGACCTCACTCCTTTCTGTCTGTACCTCCCCAATCCCTGCAATGTGAGGGTCCAGTTGGGGTCACCACATGGCTGGGAGGGGCTGAGCACACTGCACTGGGTGTCCAGGTGCTCCTGTGGCTGGGAGCCATCAGGATCAGCACCACCAGGGCCACTCCTGCACTTCTCAGGCATGGGGTGAAGCAGTTTTGTACTGGGACCTCTTCCTGCCACCTCTGGGACCTGGCAGACTGGAACAATCCTTGTGTTCATGGGGGCGAGTCGGTCCCCTCAGATCAGCTACTTTCTACCTTTAATTTGGAAATAAATCAATAAATAAAATAAACCAATAAAAAAAAATAACTCTTTGTTTCTCCTGTGAGGTTTGTTTCTCCTCTGCTGTCTGCTTGGGAAGGGCTGGGTGATGCTCCCAGGTTTGCCTCACCCTTCTTCAGGCTGAGCCCCTTCTGGTGGGTGAGCTGTGATGGGGAGGGGGCTCCAGGGTGGTGATCCCACAGTGCTGGGCATGGAGGAGTTAATTCCTGCCTGGCCAAGGAGAGCACCGTGCTTCCAACCCAGAGCCCCCCCTTCCCCCTCAGCTGAGCTGGCCTTGGGTAGGAAAAAGGTGTTTCCTGTGCATCTGCTGACACAAAGCTCCTGGGGACGTGGCGAGGTGGGACAGTGGCCAGCAGCCCTGCAAAGGCCAACGTAGGTCAGGCTGTGTTGCCATGGGGGACATGGGGACCCCTCCCCTGAGCCCCTGCCAGGGGCTGGCAGTGCCATGGGGTGGCTCATGGGGGTTGAGGCAGGGGGTGGCACTGGATCCCTTGTTTGGGTTGGGGGGACACTGGCTAAAGCAGCTTCGGGGGCGATGGAGGATGGCACAGGGGGAGTGGGGTGACACAGGTGAGATGTTGAGGCAGGTACCAGCCCCTGTGTGGCTGTGCTGAGCCCCTGCATGCCCCTTTCTGTGCTAGGGGATGGCAGCCAGGACCAAAAATAGCCCGGGCAGCAGCATTCCCTACTCCCCCTCCCTGCCGCACCCCTGACGTCTGGATCGGGGCGCCTCCTCCCACATTTCCTCAGGAAGAAACCCAAGGCTGGAGGGAGGAAGAGGCTGCCCCACGGGTGGGACGGGACAGACGGGACAGAGGGACACCAGTGTGGGGCTGGGGAGCCACCAGGACAGGGGCCCTGGTGGAATGGAGAGCGCCCGGCCCATCCTCTGCCTCCAGCTGTGGCTGTGGGTGCAGAGCTCTGCCCAGGAGCTCGACCCTGAGGGCAGGAACGTCTGCAGGTAGGTGCCACGGGGGTCCCCACTCGTGCCCCTCCATCTCCTGGGGCCTCTCAGCAGCCCCAGAGGGTTTTTGTCCATCCCTCCTTCCCCGGGCAGAGATTTGCAGCCTGGCACGGGGTGGGTGCAGAGGCCGGGTGATGATGGGGGATGTGTTTGGGGCATGTCTGGGCATTTGGGGTGTCAGATCCTTTCTCCAGGGTTTGTTTCTCATTCACCCTCTGAGTACAGGGCAATACGGGACCCTTGGCAAAACTCCTTATGGGGAAGCTTTGGTGTAACAAACCCCAAAGAGCTTTGGGAGATGATGTCCCCTGAATTTGTTGCCACGTTGCTTCTCCCATTGTCTCCCATCAGCGATGACACCTTTCATGGCCTTCACTTCAGTTCCTCATTTCTGCACTGCTGCCGAAGCTTTGGCCTCTCCCAGGGCATGGGACACCCGGCACGGGCTCCATGGGGACATTCCCAGCCCACTCGGGCTGCAGCCTCCTAAATTTCCTTCTATTTTTCTGGTTTCCTTCCGGAGCGTTGCCCTGGGGGCCGCGCCGCCTCCTCAGCACCGGGGCAAGGATCGCTTGGCTTTGGCCGGGGCCGTGAAGGCTCCCTGGCCCCCCGGCTGACACCCCCGGTCTCTCCGCAG